GGGCTACTGTAGAAACGTGGCAGACTCAGAAGAAGTGATTCTTATTTTCAGGTCTTTATATACTAATGAAAACATACCTATTAATATTATATTCTGTTTCTGCCAAGACATCTTCTTGAATGTTACATACTGGACCTTTTTTAAGGGATTTTTCACATATTTGGATTTGAATATGATTCAACTCTCTTTGGATTTGACCCACCTCAACCCACACTCAAATATTCTGATATCTATGCAAAGGGAACGTGGCATCACACTTGGTATTAGACACGAATTGCAAAAAAACAAAACTGCCATGCTCATATTGAGCTGTTGAACTCAAAACCTGATTTTTTAAATATTTATATTTAGAATTGATGACATTCATATTCACCACTCACATCCAGTCTGCTGGCTGTAATGTGGCTCCATGGTATTTCCTATCTTTCTCAATAAGTCTGGACTGGACTGAGCTGGCCATGACTACAGCCCTGGTGCTTTGAACTGACCTGCAGCTCACTTCTGCTTTTGGCTCTGACGTTAGTAAGCAGGAGAGACGTGGCACTCCTGCCAGCACACACAGCTGTGCAGATGTGCTTATTCACTGGCTTTCTAAGATGATTTACTGGAAATGATGTTTCTTTTATATTCCTCATGGGCTGTTTATCTTGTATAACTGAAACACAGATTATTGTTACATTACAAAATCAGTTTAGTAAACACAACATCATGTCTTGTTTATCTGTAAAAGACAGGATGAGATCTAGGAGTGTAAGCTGGACGTTGAATACAGAGATTTTTATGATGTCTTATTGATAATAGTTTGACAAAGTTGCCCTTATTTATATTTTATATGTTGTCAGTCCACATTATACTGTAGTTGATGTTTGCGAAACCTAAGAGAGATCATGTAAGTGAGCCTGAGGATGTGCAGTATTACAGTAACTAGACTTGTGGGTCCAGTAGATGTCACTCTACACCATCCAATTATTTTTATTGTGTAAGAGATTTACTTATTACAAGAAGCCTTCAGTTGAGATTCCACGCAAACCTTATTGAACTAGATGTTGATTTTCTGTCTCATGTTAAGTTGCCATGATCAGAGGTTAACACTGTTATTTGAAACGGAGGAGGCCGTGCTCTCTGTACATTATTTTCTCTTTCACAGTCCAATAAATGTATTTTACCTGTTATAGAATAAAGATCTACAGAGGCAGTTTGTTACATTGACTCGAGTACTTTTGAGGTATTTAACTTGAGAATTTTCTGTTTTATACTTTTACTCCACCACATTTCAGAGGGAAATATTGTACTTATACTGAGTACATTTATTTTTACTGCAGAAGATTTCACATACAAAACATAACAAAAATAAAATGCATGGTTAAACTTTCAACTACCAAACTGTAGTTTAAATAAACTCCCTTTTGACCAGCTAATTAAAATCTGCTCACATATTAATAATGGTATATATGTATGTCTATATATATATATATATATATATATGGCATACTGCTATGTAATAGATACTTTTAATTTTGATAGTTTAACAATATTTTGCTGGTAATTAATTTTACCTGTATTTTATACATTGTAGTATTGCTACTTTTATACTTAAAGGGTCCCCTCCAGAAATGTATCAAAACATATATACAAATAGTCTGCTTTGAACAATAAAATATGTCAGACAATTTCCACATTCAAATCCTTAAAAAGGTATCTACTCCTTGTACTTCATTAAAGATTCCACAATCTATAAATATGCAAATTCTGTTAAATATTTAAAGTTTTCCTGTAGGACAGAAGATGTCGTCAGTGTAAAGTCCATTCTCAGTGTCTGTGCACTGCTGGATCTCATTGTATAAGCTGCATACTGAACCAGGTTTGACTTCCTGACTATTTGTGATGTCACAAATCATGCTCGTATGCCCCATCTCTTAAAATCTGATTTTCAATGAGCACAGAGAAACGTTCTGCAGATTAATGTGAAAACTTCTAGTGTCAAACTCTGTACACAGTGAAGCTCAAACATCCAACTGTAGGAACAAGAAGAAAAAACACATTTTTTAATGATCCTTTAAGTAAAGGATCTGAATACAAGAGTACATGAGTGGGTTCTTATAATGTCTAAAATAAATAATGAAATTTTACTTTATTGACTCAAAAGTGGGTAAACCCACTTTGACTTGACTTCCTCCACTGAAGAGGAAGACCACATTAGAGCTGGCGGGGTCTCCATATGTCAGATCCAGCATTTTATCTGAACCCAGACCATCTATTGAAATGATTAATTGCTGCGTCCGCCTCCTGGTATTAACTTCCCAGAGATATTGATAATAACAGTCATTAGTAATCCCATGGAGAGGCAGCAGGATAATCACTGTCTGGTCTTGATTTGCCACCAAACAGGACAGGAACAGACTACAACGGACAGTCAGGACTACAGAGAGGATCATTGGTGCCAACCTGCCCTCCATTCAGGACCCATACTGGTCCAGAGTCAGGAAATGAGGGGCAGGAAACATCACTGCAGATCCATCACACCCCTGGACACAACCTGTTCCAACTCCCCCCCTCTGGTAGGCGCTGTACGCCAAAACAAACAGACACAGGAACAGTTTCTACCCACAAACCATCACTCTGACCAACATTTAACTCCAGACTCACAGTGTCAGTCCCTGTACAATAACCCTGGGACTCCCAACATTCACTGTACCTGTGAACTATTTACTATTTATTTTCTTAATTTTAATTGTCTATTTGTTAAAACATAAATACAATCATTCAAACACATCTACCCGTATGTATATGTTGTATATACTGTCATATTAACTTATCTTGTGTACATAAAAATCCGTAAATATTTACTGTTCTTCCAATCCTCGTCTCAAACCCTCAATCCCACCCTGAATCTACGTGTTTCATTAATGCACTCTACTCTAATTTTCTTTTTGCATATTGCAAATATCATATGTCACACTGCTAAATTGCATTTATTGTGCACATTTCTGTACAGCTCTTAACTTGTTTATATGCTCTTTTTATACTTATATACTGGCTCAATTTATTGTCTCTATTTGTATTTTTATTTATATTTTTTGGATGTTAACTGTTATGCACCAACTTACCAAGGCAAATTCCTTGAATGTGAAAACCTACTTGGCAATAAACCTGATTCTGTCTCCAAATCTTATTGTTTTTGTTTATATATTCCTTGTATGTGTGTGTGTGTTTTTATCTTATCTTATATCTTATTTTTGATTCTATTCTTAAGGTCAGGGTTTTTAATTTTAGTTTAATGTATGTCTAATGTATGTATGTTTGTATTTTGAATGCTACTGGATGCTTGAATTACCCTCGGGATAAATAAAGTATCTATCTAAAAAATATACATGAACTAATATATACATATATATAAACAAACAAAAACAATAAGATTTGGAGACAGAATCAGAATCAGGTTTATTGCCAAGTAGGTTTTCACATACAAGGAATTTGCCGAGGTAAGTTGGTGCATAACAGTTAACATCCAAAAAATATAAATAAAAATACAAATAGAGACAATAAATTGAGCCAGTATATATAAGTATAAAAAGAGAATATAAACAAGTTAAGAGCTGTACAGAAATGTGCACAATAAATCTATCTATCTATCTATCTATCTATCTATCTACGCTTTGTCGCCGCCCTGTGGACACTCCGGGTACTGCCGCTGTTTAACGAGGCAATGTTTTTCTCGCAGTAGTATTCAGATAACAAGCCAGCGGATCTGAGTTGCGGTTACAAGCGCTGTCAACCGACGGCTAATAAGCTGAAAAACAAATGCAGTTTCTCAGAAAGAAGACCTCTGCTTCAACAGGCGACGAAGAAAAACACGCTTTTCTCTCCGTGTTTGTTTTTTGTTCATCTGCATGGAGCGGAGTCGGAGTTTGTCTGCAATCTCTCCGCCTGTCCGTGGATTAACACCAGACTCGACTCTGAAAGCGATATCGCCTCTAAAGTGAGAAATTGAGGATTATTTTGGAGCATCCCGTGTGATTACATGTGGGGGTTTTTTCGTTGCGTTTCGGCTGTCGCTTGTTTCCTCCAGTTTGCGGGCAACGTAAAAGTGGAAATCCAGTGAAGTCCGGACCCAGCGGACACTTGTTGAAACACAAATTAACCGAGTAAAACCCTTTTTGCCCCGACTGCTAGTGAGCCGTGCTAACGCTCGGCAGCGAGGTTTTTAAAACAGCTAACGAGGCTAACAACTTTCTCCTGAGCGCCGCAGATAAAACCCTTCCAGCGCAGATTACCTTCAATACGTGTCTGTTACACGTCGACCGAGTGTCGGGAAGTTTTTCGGCGGACAAAGTGCGTTTTTTTGTCAGTGAGATATTGTGAAATGACACTGACAGCAGCTTAGCTCCCTCGGTTAGCCGCAGCTGTTCCGTTAGCACCGAGCGGCTAACGCTGCGTTAAGTTGAGATTCAAACAAGTGGTTCAGGTGGAAATGTTTCTCCATGTGAACTTATATTGTACCGGTGACTTCTTGTAACCAACGCGGCACTTTAGGCCACTTATTAACTCGCAAACGCGGATATATATTGTCGTTACAAAGGCTTTAATTGTCACTCCAAAGACACTTGGGAGTGTGAATTAAACTTTGGCTCAACCTGTAATGTGTGCTGTGCTTTTGCAACACAGATGGCTTCACTGACAGACTTTGAGAAATAGACTCCCAGCATCGTCTTCTACTCTCTCTCCCCCCTTCCTCCTCCTCCTCCTCCTCCTCTCGGGTAGCTGAAGTTGTGAGACTGCGGCCCGCACAATGTCCGGCTCCCCGGGCACAGGTGGCTCCAACCCCAGGAAGTTCAGCGAGAAGATTGCGCTGCACAACCAGAAGCAGGCAGAGGAGACGCGGGCCTTCGAGCAGCTGATGACAGACCTCACTGTTTCAAGGGTAAATACGCTTAAATATGTGTTTGTGTTCTGCGTTCATTGTAGGGTTCAGAGCTCCTGT